ACCTCGGCTGGTGATGAAACGTTTGCAAACAAATTGCCAAGCTCGACGAACAGGCGAAATAGAATGTTAAGAATCTTTCAATCAATATAACTGTCGTTCACTCCCGGACATTATGCGTTTTGCTTTTGCTACGTTGTCGGCTTATCGACGTTTATCGCCGTCAGTAATGAGGGGAGATCTGATAGAGACTTTCAAAATTGTGAGAGGTCTATCGGGACTCAACCTAGATGACTTGTTTACGATTGCTCGTGCTCAAAACACGAGAGGTCATAGCTATAAACTTCAACAGAACCACGCCAGACTAGAAGTACGGTCCAACTTCTTCGCACACAGGGTCATACCTATGTGGAACAAGTTACCTGCAGAAGTGGTCAACTGCGCCAATGTTAACACCTTCAAGGTGGCACTGGACGCATGTTGGTCAGAAACGTTCCCCGAAGTTAGCACTTAGACTGGGAACATTAAAAGTAAATTCTACTTTGCGAGAAGATGTGAAATGATATAAACNCCTGAGGTTTTCATCCCACTGTATAAATCGATTGTGCGCCCACACATGGAATACTGTGTGCAGGCATGGGCACCGTATTACAGGAGGGATGTAACGTGCTTAGAGCGAGTACAACGCCTAGCCACCCGAATGGTGACTGGGCAAAAGGGGAAGAGCTATGAGCAGCGGTTACGAGATCTAAATCTCTTTTCGCTGGAGCGTAGACGAATGAGGGGAGATCTGATAGAGACTTTCAAAATTGTGAGAGGTCTATCGGGACTCAACCTAGATGACTTGTTTACGATTGCTCGTGCTCAAAACACGAGAGGTCATAGCTATAAACTTCAACAGAACCACGCCAGACTAGAAGTACGGTCCAACTTCTTCGCACACAGGGTCATACCTATGTGGAACAAGTTACCTGCAGAAGTGGTCAACTGCGCCAATGTTAACACCTTCAAGGTGGCACTGGACGCATGTTGGTCAGAAACGTTCCCCGAAGTTAGCACTTAGACTGGGAACATTAAAAGTAAATTCTACTTTGCGAGAAGATGTGAAATGACATAAACGTGAGTGTTGAAATTAGTCTAAAAAAACTGATTATTTGTCACACGTAAGCTGTATACTAGCGCAAGTGTACTTGAGGTCTCTAACGAATGAGGCGAGGAGATATCCTTGCTTGTTTTCCTCCCTTTCAGCATACCCCAAGGAGACAACGTTCTGGACACGGGGTTGAAGTGTGAGGATCACAAATACTCAATCAACCGTACGCAGTGTTGGAAGCCAATCCCATCCGCCGACAACACAACGAACTGGACGCTCGATTGGCAAGAGCCATATTCGTCCTGTGCAACTGAACTGAACTGAACTGAACTGACCTATGTTGTGCGGTTAAGGCTTGACGCGGCGGGTGCTAAAAACTGGGGCAATGAGTGATACGTCAGATTCGGAAATCTCGGAGGATTTCTCTCCTCCAAATAAGCGCAGCAGAGCAAGGGCGGCTCTTTCAGATGAAAATGAATCCGAGGAAGAAGAAACGGGAGGTAATGAGAAGAACAACGATGCGGGCGACGAAGAGGATGAGGAAGATGAGGACGAGGAGGATGAGGAGGAAGACGATAGACGTCCTTCCAAGCGGAAAAGAAAAATGCGCTTCGACGTGCAAGTGAGTCACTTGAAAATAGCCCTACATTTGGCAAATCTGAGTCGAACATCATTCGTTTTCAAAGTACAGCAGTGCCATTATCATTACCATTCGCTTAGGATCTTTCACTGCTCCTAAAATTAACCAGTTATTAAATGAGTTGAGATTTTCTGACTAAAAATTTAAAACAGTTTTTCTAATTTGGACGTTGCTTTTCCCTTCGTGCTACAGGAAATGTTCAATGA